CTGTTACACCCTTGTACAACTTCACCCTCCGATCTTAAGTTGCTACTTTTACTTTTCTCAAACCGACCTAATTGGGATGATTGGGCTACATGAACAAGTAATCCAGCCAATATAGCTTTATCGGTTCATCACGTTAATGTAACAGCTACATTATCGAAAATAAATGATGACAAAATGAATTGCAGCACAGAAACTATATTCTGAACATTGATCAAATTAATGGGTTTCAGTATGCTTAATGTTAGCTGATCAAACAGCTTCTACATCATGCGATGTGTATGAATGTTGAATAATTAAAACACAAATAAAGTTTTCGTGAATAGTTTTGTTGTATCAGCTAATCATTATGTTCCAAAATATGCTAATGAAATGTTCCTCATTTTATATAACCTACGAAGTAGATTCATTGAATAATAATGATCGACTTTTGCATCGATTTTAAGACACACCCGTAGCCTTTGACCTCAAGTTCTGATCCACAAGACAGTGGAGCATCGTAAGGAGATGCAGTCCCATGGTAGCCGGTGACCAACGATTGATTCATACTCCATTTGTTCCTTCAGGATACTGGAGCCCATGTGTACCATTGGTTTGTAATCAGGGTGTTCCAACTCCCCTAGATGGACGCGCCGTGTTCACTGGCCCGGTTAAAGCAGTGAACATTCGGTTTTCGTCCTCTCAATTTCGTAGATAACAAGCCCGCCATGAGAAGGCAGTGAGTAGGACTTGTGTGGCAGAGGCCATATACACGTGGCCATGTGAGAGTATTTCTAAAGGGAGAGCTGACTTTCCTCACTCTCGGCCGTACAAGGGCATTTGAGGGTGGTAGAAAGTTGAGATGGGTAAGAGCAAAGTGAGTATGGTAAAATGACCAATAAGAAGTAGAGTTGGTACAAATATATACCCCAACTAAACGAAACTGCATAAAACCATTACGTAGAAGCAGTAACAAAATATGCTGAAAAAGCAACTGACATTGAAGCTGACGCAATAGGAAAATTCCAAAAGTGTAAAGTGTCTATTTAATGACTTAGGGCATTTTTGAGACGCTATAAGGTATGGATATCGAAATTTTTAAAGGATGGAATTCTGTAGTTTCATCCTGCTATTTGATCGGAATTTCTTCAAGAAAACCATAAAAATAAACATGGTAAGCAGAGATGGATAGTGGCTAGCAGTGGAATCCAGGACGCGCGTTTCGTCTTATTTGGGACTCGTCAGCTGGATGTACCTGCATTTCAGAGTTGGTGTTCACTCTGGGACTCGAACCCACTACCTTTCGCCTCAAACACAATCGCATTATCCATTCGGCTACTGAGTCCTGATAGCCACTTGCTTGCGCGATGGGGTGAAGTTTAAATTCATTCAGTATTGTTTGTTCGAATCTTCCCATCGATGTGTTAGGACTGCAACTCTGAGATGCAGGTGCATCCAGCTGACGAGTCCCAAATAGAACGAGATGCGCCTTGTCCTGGATTCCACTGCTAGCCACTATCCATCTTTGCTTACAATGCTTGTGAATTAAGGCTATATCTAGGCAATACGCACTGTATGCACATATGCCAATCAGAGACTGACCAGTTGCAGTCCTAACATATCGATGGAAAGATTCAAGCAAACAATACTCAATGGATTTAAAAATTGTGAGGATGGTCCACAGGTGAAGTCGAGGAGGCTCTAGGAAGCCCAGAAGGAGCCCAACATGTTCCATCCAATCAGCTTTTTGAAGAATATTCCAGAATTGCCACGTGGAGCTTCCCTATTGGACAATGCTGATAACTCCCTGTCTGCGGATTGGATAACTATAATGATGATTTTGTTTCTACTAAAAACTATAAATACCTGATAATTTTGTACCATATTCGACACTGTCAGGAATAACATTCCTTCTACTTGTCTTCTGTCTTTTGATTTGTGACTTGGGAGGGTTCCAGCGTTCGACTGCTCAAGTATTGCGCGATAGACTAAGTTTTCTGAGTTTGAGATACAACAAAAATAAACAAAGTTTAAATACTCCTTTGCTAGTCGATTTTCTAATTACGTTCTGAAGATGGTTTAGTTTTCTATATGAATTTGAGTTACTTCGTGTGAAATCTGTTCAAAGTTCAGCAAGTTTCGTCTGATTTATGTGTATGTGATTTGTATTATAATCCAATGATTATTTAGTGAAGGCCATGCTCATCATTCTTGTAGTCAGGAATGAACTGAGCTTGTAATAATAAGCGTTGATTGATAAATAAGTAGTAATCTATATATGCACTTTTATCCTTGTTGCAATCAGTAGGAAACCTATTATATTGAATAACTAAACAGTTGAATGTGTTTTAACCATATCGCTTGCCACAGTGATACACAGAATTTGTAGTCCCGAGTGTTGGTAAGACCGAGAAAATTCCTCGTAAAAGAACCCAAATGGGACCTGATAACGCTAGGAACAATCCGTAGGCTGCATTCACCTGAGGATGTTGATATCCCAGCATTACCCTACTGGAAGTAACTAGCGAATGCCATAGGTTAGTGAATTTGAAGCATGATACCTCGATGGTAGAGAACGGTAAATGGTTCCTTCACGTCAACGCAGTCTAGAGAAAAGTCCTACAATGTTCTAGCACGCAGAATTATCGTAATGACAGCGGCAAACCATCATCCTCGTGCTGGTTGGCATTTCGAAGGGTTTTGTCCGTTTAAAAATAATCGTTGTACAACGTGTTCCAGAAAAGCACACAAAGAAAGTCATTGCAAAACCCGAAAACACCGTCAGCCGAAAGCGTGTTCTAAAAGATTCGAGCCACAAACAGCTAAAGTAACGGTAGCTCTTAACACAATTGCCTTCCATAAACGTAGAAAGTAAGTTTCCCTCAAGATTAACGGGTATGATTCCCGTCTACAGTTAGACACATCCTTTGAAATAACACTTATAAGCAGGAGAACGTGGATGAAAATTTGTAGACCGAGAATATATTCAACTCATCAATCAGCATTTAGTGTATCTGGGGGAATGCCAAACATTGCTGAAGAGATTCATCGTGAAGTCACAGTCAAGGAATTCACAGAGAAGGGAGTAATATGTGACAAAACGTCCACCACTCGACTTATTAATACTTGACTGGATAGATAGGCTAAAGTCAATAGACCTTCCCATAAACTCGATCTGCAGCAACGTCAATACAAGGAAAAAGCATAAGAAAAACTCAGTTGAAGCGTTATTAAAACGATATAAAATGGTATTTGGTGAGCGGCTTATAGGATGCACTAAATTTTAAGCTGTTCTTCGACAGCGATCAAAGCCAGTTTTTCGATCTTATAGACCTGTACCATATGCTGCCCTCCCAGTGGTAGAACAAGAGTTAGAACTTTATAAATTGGGTATTATTGAACGAGTGGACTTCTCAGGATGGACTGCACCGTTATTTGCAGTAAAAAAGACTAACGATAGCGTCCATTTGTACGCCGGTTACCAAACCGGGCTAAATGAAGCCTTAGAAACTCATCAATATAACTTACCCTTACCTACAGATCTTTTTGCTAAGCTGAATGGAGGTAGGTTCTTTGCAAAGTTTGATTTGTTGGAAGCATAATAACAAATTTCTGTTGCTGATGAGTGTAAAGGTCTGCTCACTATAAACACACACATGGGCGTATTTCGATGTAATTGACTAGCTTCCTGAGTCAAGACGGCCGCATCGATATTTCAGCAAGTAATGAATACTATGATACAGGATGTCTTGAGTGCTGCAGCTTATCTGGATGACATAATAATTATGTGAGTAGAATGAATGGAATTAAAAATAATCTCAATCAGGTGCTGTCATGAATAGGCAAATATGGACTTCGACTTCGTGCAGAGAAATGTAAATTTTGTATGCGAAAGGTAAGCTACCTCGGATTAATAATCGACAAAATGACAGAAGACCAGATCCGGAGAATACTCAGGCAGTGAAAACTATGCCTAGACCGACGGATGCCCATACACTGAGCTCCTTCTTGGTAATAGCTAGCCATTTTTGAACTTTCATACTGGACCTTCATCGCCCACGTGCCCCGTTAAATAACCTTCTGGCGAAGAATATAAAGTGGAGTCGGTCTACAAGCTGACAAACTGTGTTTTTAGGAAGTCAATAAAACTACTAGTCTGAGATCTGTTGCTTACCCGTTACGACCCATCCCTACCTATTGTAGTAGTATCAGATGCTTCAAACTACGTAATTGAAGCGATTATATCTCACATCATGGAAGGCCGTTTCGTCCTATCGTGGGACTCCTCAGCAATGCAATTCCACGATCCTGCACTCGCGAGATTCGAACCCAGGACCTACCAGTCTCGCGCCAGAGCACTTAACCTATAGAATACTGAGCCGGCATCCATGGTGTTAATGTCTAACATCAACCAATCCACGTAGTTATTTTCCCATTTTATGGTACGATGTGGTCTGTTTGATTGGTATATAAACCCTGTATGCTTGAAATAAATGATTCATACCGGAGAGTCTGTTATTAGTGCTCTGGACCTAACTGGCTCGGTTAGGCAGAAAGCAGGACCGAAAAGTACTCTAGATTGCCCCTACGGGTTTCGTGTGTCATTGGTCCGATCCATAATTCACTGCTCTCTAATTGGCGGTATTATCCCCTGATACATTACTACGGCACTCAGGCCACAAGTTATAACAATAAATTAATTACATATGAAGGAGAAAATAACAATAATAATAATAATATAATCACAAAAGTTAAATAGTTCATTATATGAAATTAACAAATAATCTTAATATCAGAAGGGGTTTTAATAGTTGAGATCATGAATTAATTGAAGCTATACCATCATGTGCACTTCTGAGGAGCCCCACAATAGGACGAAATGGCCATCAACTGCTTCCAAATTTTCCATGATGGTCTAACTTCAATCGACTCATCATCTCAACTCTAAATAAATTAAATCTTCAGAATTCTGGTCGGCGGTCTGTGCTCCATTAGGAGTAACAGGCGAAAGTAAGTAAGTTCATTCAATTGAATATAGCAGAACCAGAAATGATAGGCCATATAAAAATACATATATAACATATAAATGTTATTATAATAAAACAAATAAATAATAATCTGTCTGTTATTTTAGCTATTATTTTCCATTCATATTTAATTAATTCATTTGTAATATTATTTTGATTATTCAAATTAGATTGATTTTTATTTGATATATTTATACTACTATTAACATTATAAGTAGTTAAATTAAATTGATTTAAATTATGTAATATGGATAATGGTAAATAATCTTGTTTTGTAGAATTGGATATTTTATGAATGGAATGTTTTGTTTTAATGTTATCCGATTTCATGATTGGATAAGTTGATGACGGTTTTACCTCAGATAGTGTCGGAGAATCCGTTGAAGGTTGTTGATGATATGATGATGATGATTTATTAACAATGATATTATGATGATAAATAGGACTGGAAGATGCTTCATTGAATGAATTCAATTGTTGAAAATAATCATGACAGATGGATTGAATTTCTTTAGTTAAGTTATTATTGATATAAAGTAAATTACTTAACTTGGTTAAGGTTATTATTTCATTATTGATTTCGCATAATTTCTTCTCTTGAATTGAATTTATAGTTGAGAATTTTTCTATCTAAATGAAAGAGAAAATAATTTACAATAATCAGAAGGTGTTTTTGCGGAGATTTAGTATTTTCATAGTTGAAAGTGTGAGTCAATTGAGTTATTATAATCATATGCTCACTAGTGACTGATTTCGAGAGGTAAATCCAGGAGTTCTAGTGAGAACCAGTGACCAGTAAAGTTCAAACCACGTCTGTTGTGAGATATCAACTCACTGAAGACAATTGGTGAACGGTTGCTCAACTTCGCGGATTGGTTGAAGTTAGACATTAACACCGTTGGATGCCAGCTCAGTGGTCTATCGGTCAAGGGCTCGCGTGAGAGACTGGTAGGTCTTGGGTTCGAATCTCGTGAGTGTGGGATCGTGGATGCGCACTGCTGAGGAGTCACGTAATGGGACGAAACAGCCGTCCAGTGTTTCCAGGTTTTCCATGGTGGTCTAGCTTCAATTGACTCACGCTTTCAACTATGAATTTACAATAACTTTGTTATATCCTAGTGAGGACATAAGTACGGGTATCTTCCAGGACCTATTAATGGACGATGATTTCATATATATTCTTATTGTATAACTATTGAGTAATTAGATTGTCATAGTTGAAATCATGAGTCAATTGAAGCTAGACCACCATGGAAAACCTGGAAGCACTGGACGGCTGTTTCTTTATATTGCGTGACTCCTCAGCAGTGCGCATCCACGATCCCGCACTCGCGAGATTCGAACCCAAGACCTACCGGTCTCTCACGCGAGCCCTCAACCGATAGACCACTGAGCTGGCATCCAACGGTGTTAATGTCTAACTTCAAAAAATCCACCAAGTTGAGCAATCGTTCACTAATTGTCTTCAGTGAGTCGATATCTCACGACAGAACTTCACTGGTCATTGCTTCTCACTAGAACTACAAGAAATACCTCTTGAATCCAGTCACTAGTGAGCATATTATTTATTAATATTAGGAGTTTTTGTGGAGATTTCAGTATTTTCATAGTTCAGATCATTAGTCAATTGAAATATATACACAGTATTGGTCCATAAATGGATCCCAAAGTTACCATTCACAATTCTTATCGGGACATAACAGTAATAAAAGTAGAAAATTTAAATCAAGCTAAAATTCTAAGTTTACATTAGTTTTAAATAGCTCATTTCAATAGAGGATTTTTAATTTTAAATTTATTTAACACCAATTAAACTTTATGCAATGAAATGATCTAACTGAAATAATAAACTACGTTTCTATGAATTAGATCACAAGAATGACATCTCTAGGTGAACCAAATAACTTGCTTATAGAATAGAAGTACGGTCCCACGTAAGACTCGTCATCTGAGTATACCTATATTTCTGTCTTGATATTTTACTACAGCAATCAAACCCAGTGTCTTTCGCTTCAAATGCCAACACATTATCCACTAAGCTATTCAGTTCCAATACTCAACGTCTTGTAAAACGAAGATCGAATATAATTCATTTGTGAGGATTTCAATCTTACCATTGTTCATGTTAAGGACTGAATATTGATCAGTCTCAGCCATAATGTATAAACCAATGGCTATTGGAACTCAGTAGCTAAGTAGATAAAGTATCGGTGTTTGAAGCGAAGGACACTGAATTAGATTGTCATAGTAAGCTTCAACACAGAAATACAAGTATAGTCAGCTGACGCGTCTCAAATGAGAAGAAACGCGCCTTCTGGTTTCCAGTACTATCCAATATCCAACTTTGATTAACAATTCATCACTTGTGTTTGACTGATTCTTACTTCTCATTCACATCCATTAATCATGCTACAATGTACTCGGCAGAGTGAATGACTCAACACCATAATACATAGCGATTGGTAAGTAACCTCTGAACTTATTTAGAAAGTTAATTATGCATCTAATCAAATGAAACTTTATGACTTACTAATGATGATATAGCTGCTGATTCATTCATATCATGACAATTTTCCTTGTAGAAGAATTGACATAAACCAAATTGAGTAATACGACGTAACCATTTTGGTGCACGTGATAGTTTTTCACCTTTTGCATCCAAATTAATAACAATCACACATACAACAACTGTTCCAGTTGTAATTGACATTACTGAGGTCATATATACTCCTATATATACAAAATATAAGACAACTAATTGAATATGGTTCAAAAAATATTTCTACATAACTATAGGGTAACTCTGTAATTCCATGTTTTAAAATATCAATGAAATAATCGGTTATAATGTACAGAACTGTCGAAAAGAGAAGAGAAAGTAATCAGTATGTTTTCGAAGCTTCCAAACACACATCAACCCCATCTGAAACTACTCTAAAGTTCGTTTTTTAACTGATAACAATACACTGACAACACAATTCTCTTATGTTACACAAACGTGATTCAAGGTTTCCATGGCTCATTTGAAATATTTGATGATTTCATGAACCAACGTTTCTGATAAATTAACTGGTTACTTACTTACTTACTCACTTACGCCTGTTACTCTCGATGGAGTATAGGCCGTCCACCAGCATTCGCCATCCTACTCTGTCCTCAGCCTTCCTTCCTAGTTCTATCCAACCACTATTCATTATTCTCATGTCTGTCTCCATTTTTAGGCGTAATGTGTTCTTCGGTCTTCCTCTCCTCGTTTGGCCTTTAGGATTCCATGTGAGGAATTGTCTTGTGACGCAGTTGGGTAATTTCCTCAATGTGTGTCCAATCCACTTCCAGTGCTTCTTTCTGATTTCTTCCTCCGCTGGAATCTGCTTTGTTCTCTCCCACAGTAACTTGCTGCTGATAGTGTCTGGCCAACGGATCCGAAGCATCTTGCGTAGATAACTGTTAATAAACACCTGTATCTTCTGGATGATGGCTTTCGTAGTGAATTAACTGGTACATGTTTTCAATAATGTATTGCTGTACACTGACTCGATAGGAACATCTTAATGGCTTTCTGTATATGTAGCCAAAAATTACCAGATGGCCGTCCAATGCTTCCAGGTTTTCCATGGTGGTCTAACTTCAATGATAACCTTTCTGAGATTATGGTAAAAAATTATCAATTTATATCCTAGAATTAATTTCATCCTATTTCATAATGCGTTGATTGTGGTCTTAGCAACATTCACTTACAATTTGAAATATGAATAACTTCTTCAGAGTATATAACTTAGTAGTCTATTTGAATTCGATTAATACTTAAAAACACATTACTCCGGGAAATGGAAGCAGATATGAAAACGATGAATGTTAACTGGAAAGGATTGCTCAGGAAAGAGTTGGATGGACAATGCTGGTGTGCGGCCTATGCTACTCGACAAGGATTAGTGACAGGCGTAAGTAAGTTAATGTATTTTTACTCATTGCTCCATAGTTAGTGAGTAGGAACAGCTTTCTACATACTTTCGCCATGTTATCAGATGGTTTCACAAATCGGTTATTATCATTTAATTTTACTCTATATTCGGTATTTTCTTGTAGAATATTCTAAAGACTTAATTAAATATGACGTTTACATTATGTTACTACATCCATCGTCAAGAAGGTACAAGTATTTCTAAACAGTTTTCTACGCAATATACTCAACATCCATTGACCGGATACTATCAACAACAGACTTCTGTGGGAGAGGACAAACCAGCTTCCAGCTGAAGAGGAAATTTGGAAAAGACGTTGGAAGTGGATCGGACATACATTAAGGAAATCATCAATGTGCATTACAAGGCAATCCCTAACTTGGAATCCAGAAGGGAAGCAAAAAAGAGGAAGGCCAAAGAACACATTAAGCCGGGAAATAGAAGCAAATATGAAAAGGATGAATAGCAACTGGAAAGAACTGGAAAGGGAGACTCAGGACAGAGTTGAATGGAGAATGCTGGTTGGCGGCCTATGCTCCTTGACGAGGGGTAACAGGCGTAAGTAAGTAAACATTATCTTACCACAGTTATTTGTTCATATACTTGGATACATATGGGAATTTTTACCAAGTTAAATGATACTCTTATCCATCTCAATCCTGAACATCAATGGGAATATTCAAACAAACAATACCAAGTGAATCACTGTTTTTATTTGAGATCTGTCTCAATCGACAGGAAACGTGTCATCGTCACCAAGAAATAGTCGACAATTTTTTCGAGCTTACTTCAAATAACATACATAGTCTTTCCTTTGACAGCGAAATTATATGCACGTAATTTCTACCAGTTTTCTTTTGTAACGATACTCACTAACTTCAATCGACATAACAGGATAAATTAAGTCCTGTTGTTGTGTGGGCTACTTATTATATCCATATAAGTAGTTTTTGATGATTGTCAGACATAGAATGTATTTTGGCAGAAGTTCGATGAAGAACGAACAGGAATGATGGGCGATCGGTATAAAAATGCGTGCACAATAAATTCAGAGAAGACGGACTGATATTTGCAGAAGGAACAGTTAAGATTGAGACAACTGTTTGTTATTTTGCAAACTATTTACTGTATGATAAGCAAAGATGGATAGTGGCTAGCAGTGGAATCCAGGACGCGCGTTTCGTCCTATTTGGGACTCGTCAGTTGGATGTACCTGCATCTCAGAGTTAATGCTCACTCTGAGATGCAGGTACATCCAACTGACGAGTTCCAAATAGGAGGAAACGAGCGTCCTGGATTCCACTGCTAGTCACTATCCATCTTTGCTTACAATGCTTGTGAATTAAGGCTATATCTAGGCAATACGCACAGTATGCACATATGCCAATTAGAGACTGACCAGTTGCAGTCCTAACACATCGATGGGAGGATTCAAACAAACAATACTAAGTGAATTTATTTACTGTATGGTTGTCAGAATTTAGTGAGATAGTCTGTAATTCGTGCTTAAATACATTCAACTGCTCGCACCCGTGTTCTTGTTCACTACACTGTTTCTAAGTGATATGCAAGAAAATTGATGCCACTCTTCATATCAATGTCTATTAACATCCCGTTGTACCGAATGGCATTCGAATATAATTGGCGTAACTTCTTTCTTAAATTACGAGACCATCTAACAGAATCTCTTTTCATAATAAAATTCTAATATAACAATACCAATTACAACTATGTACCATTTACAGCCAATTACCAAATTCATACAAGCAACAAATACTGTATTCTTTTACAACAAAGCCACACATTTTGAAACAAAGTTAGTTTATCATAAGCTTAAAGTCTCATCAACAGACTTCCGAAATCACAATAACCATGGCAATAATGTCGGCTGTTATATCGTGTGAATCGCCAATTGTTATATCGATTGCTTGCGTGTGCCCTCTTAATATATAAACGTGCAGTGATACATAAAACCGTACGGGCAGTCTTGAGTGCTATTCGGTCCTTCTTATCTGCCTAGCCCAGCCCGTTAAGTCCAGAACACAAATAACAGCCTCGGCAATATGAATAGTTCAGTTACGTAATAATTGTACAATAGGAAATAGGCATATTACATTGATCCATAAATAGACCTAAAAGTTACCATTCGTAATTCACCGGGGGATATAACATCGGCCAACAATAATCATCAGTGAGGTCATTTTTTAAAACAGTAAATTTTATTAGACGACAGGTGACAGTGAAGTGGAATGAAAAGAATTAAAAAGTTCTCAGAAGGGTTTTTTGTGGAGATTTAGTATTTTCATAGTTAAAAGCGTGATTCAATTGAAGCTAGACCACCAAGAAAAACCTGTAAGTAGTGGACTACCGTTTTGTCCTATTATGGGAATCCTCAGCAGTGCTCATCCACGACCTCGCCTCGCTAGATTCGAACCAAGGACCTACCAGTCTTGCGCCAGTGCACTTAATCGATAGACTAGTGAGCCGGTATCCGATGGATGTTTATGTATAACTCCAACCGATCCACGAAGTTGAGCGAGTTCCTATCTCATAACAGTGGTGGTTTGAACTCCACTGGTCACTGCTTCTCACTAGAACTCCTGGATTTACCTCTTGAAGTCAGTCACTAGTAAGCATATAATTATTATGATCAGAAGGGTTTTTTTGTGGAGATTTAGTGTTTTCATAGTTGAAAGCGCGAGTTAATTGAAGCTAGACCACCAGAGAAAACTAGAAGCATTGGACGACCGTTTTGTTCTATTGTGGGAATCCTCAGCAGTGCGTATCCACGATCTCAACTCGCTTTCAACTATAAAATGTTTTCATTAATAGGTGTAGAATGCATGAATCTCCATAGCAACCACTATGTTACTTATATTATATGTATAAAATGTCACTAGTTATAAATTGATACTCAGCAACAAAAATAAAAGGAAATCAATAATCACTTACCTATAAGTGGAATATTTTTAGCTGTTGGTGGAACACGTTCAGCTATCAACATCATAAACATAGAAAAAGCTAAAAATACTGATAAACCTAATGTAACTTTTTCACCTGAATTAATTGGTGTCCAAAATGTAATTAATGTAAGTAATGTTAATAGAATACATGGTATAACAATATTCCATATATAGAAAAAACTTCTTCTTTGTAAGAACAGCTTCAATACTAAATCAGTTTGTCTACTATCCAGTTTGTTATCATAAATCTGAATGTTTGATATACTCGTGGTTGGTTTCCAAACAGTCAATGTATCAGTAGATCGGTAGGTGTAAGATAATATAGCATGTTTCAACATCCAATCTGTACTATCCCAATAAGATGATGTATCTAATGCATTTTTAGTTAGATAATCTTCTTCCAATTTACTACTATCAACATTATCCTGTTCTTCTTCGTTATGATCTCTTCTTTTTGTACTTACATGACGATTCGACTTATTCAACATCAATGATACTAATGAAGGTAACAATTTTGTAGTATATTTCCAATTTTTGTCGGTTGTTGGTGTTGTTGTTGTTGCTGTTGTTGACTTATGGTGTTGATTAGTTTGAAATTTATATTCAATCCAATCAGATGTATACATCCATGATCCAAATTGTATTTCACAATTTTGTTGATCAAATGGAAATAATGTAATGTCGACTTTACAAGATGTTTTCAATTGTACTGGAATTGGCCATGATATTCTACCAGAACTATGAACTAATACATAAACACCTTCTAGAAAACCAGAACTTGTATGATCAGCACTATAATGAAAAGATCAAATTATAGATTGATAAGTATGCCTTGTTACTAAATTCAATGATTATTCAATCGGTCAGTAGTTTAAAGCTTGCTATATATGTATTTAAAGCTGCTTAGAACCTTCTCAGAAAATTTACTTTGGAACTTCATAATTAGTCTACGATTTCACTTAAAACCAAAGGTTTCTGTTTGCCTCATTACTAGAGATCATGAGTGTTTCTATACTTGTCATCTTAAGGGGACTGATGCTCCCTGACGGATTCAATCCCGTGTCACTCAACTTCACAGTGAAAGACGTTACCATTGAGCTACCCGGGCCGCGACTGACCTCTTGTAGGACTGAGATTTATTTACAATTGTGTAATCAGTAAGTGGTGGAATAATTCCAAAATATAATAAGATATTTCAATAAATTCAATGATGTTTTATTGTCGTGAAATAAGAAATAAGCTCGGAATTTAGTTTCAATCACCTCTGTTGTTCAGATATGAAAAATAGTCGATATATCTGCTTTCTCTTTTTCCTTAGTAACTTTCAATTAGGAGTTCATTCAAATCAATCATTACTCACATATTTACTTTCAGAAGATAAAAACGCATATTAATATTAAACAATAAATCAGAAAGGGGTTTTGTGGATAGTTTAGTAATCCAGTAGTTGAAGTCGTAAGTCGATCAAACTAGACCACCATGGAAAACCTGGAGTCACTGGAAGGCCGTTTTATCCTAATATGGGACTTCTCAGCAGTGCACATGACCATAAGTCATTTATCAGTTTAGTGATTAATGAATTTTTTTTCAATAGTTGCGATCATGAGTCGATTGAAGCTAGACCATCATAGAAAACCTGGAAGCACTGGACGGCTATTTCGTACTATTGTTGGACTCCTCAACAGTGCGCATTCACGATCCCACCTTGCGAGATTCGAACTAACAGTCTCGCGCGCAAGCGCTTAACTTTCAGACAGCTGAGCCGGCATTCAATTCTGGTAATGTCTAACATCAATTAATCCATGAAATCGAGCGATACATCCGCCACTCTCCTCAGTGAGTTATTATCTCACAACAGACCTGGCTGAACTCCACTGGTTACTGCTTCTCATTAGAACTCCAGGAAATACCTCTTGAAGTCAGTCACTAGTGAGCATTTAAGTACATGTAAGTACATTTAATTGGTAAACTCATAGTTGAGAAAAACAAAACACGATATACAGAATTCTACTATCTAATGAAGAAATTTATTAACTTATCAATCTCCATAAGAGTTTTATTTCGTTTAGTATTTAGTTTTTTTTCTTTAAACTTTTAATCTATTGTTTCGACACAGCACAGCATGCACCGAACGAATTACACTTGAAGGAGAAGCTCTAGAGGATGTGAAAAAACTATACATATCTGGGCAGCATCATTGATGAACACGGTGGATCTGATGCAGATGTTAAGGCGTGGATCTACAAAGCAAGAACAGCATATTTACAACTGAAGAACATCTGGAACTCAAAACAACTGTCTGTCAACCAACACCAAGACCAGAATTTTCAATACGAATGTCAAGACACTCCTACTGTATGGGGCGGAGACATGGAGAACTACGAAAGCCATCATCCAGATGATGCAGGTGTTTATTAACAGTTGTCTACCCGAAATAATTCGGGTCCGTTGGTCAAACATTATTATCAACATTCTACTGTGGGAGAGGACAAACCAGATTTCAGCGGAGGAAGAAATCAGAAAGAAGCACTAGAAGTGGATAGGACATATATTGAGAAAATCACCCAACTGTCTCACAAGACGAGCACTCACTTGGAATCCTGAAGGTCAAGGGAGAAGAGGAAGACCAAAGAACACATTACACCGAGAAATAGAAACAGACATGAGAAGAATGAACAAAAACTGTATAGAACTAGAAAGGAAGGCTGAGGACAGAGTGGGTTGGAGAATGCTGGTTGTTGGCCTATGCTCCATTGGGGGTAACAGGCCTAAGTAAGTATGTAAGTAGTTTGTTCTAACATTCAGATACTTCTAATCATCACAACTACTTAAATAGTCTAATAAATATACAAGAAATTAAGTAATCAAAGTTTTAGGAAAGAAACGTTCAACAGCGACAGAAAAATAATATATAGAAAATTTGCCTACTTATTAAATACATAAGTATCTGGAGTCCATACTTGTTTAGCTGGTATACGTAATGTTCTTACATTACCAAATTCTGATTCATTCCATTTTAAATATTCATCTTCCCATATCTATAAAGAAAGTTAAATAATAATCCTATAGATTAGTTTAGTTAACATTAAAAGGGAACTTTAGAAATCAACTGGGAATATTAAGTTGAAAATGTTATCAAAGTTGAGTTCTGTTTGTATTTGTTTTTAAAATTGATTGATCACTGGGTGGTGATCAATGTCAGATGTGTCAGGTCCTTCTTAGTACAGATCGAATTCCGTCGATCAAGTTGCAATGTGGTCACTAGTCTACGTGACTCGACATTACGTGAACTATGTTGAGATGAGATGGTGATTCGTGGTAGTCAACAGGAAATCCGGTGTCTAGGTTTCGTGCTACTTGGCACACATCAGCAAGGTGTATCTGTAATCTTGAGGGAACTGGTGCTCTCTGACGGATTCAATCCCGTGTCACTCAGCTTCACAGTCAGAGACACTACCACTGAGCTATTCGGGCCTCGACCGACATCCTGTAGGACTGAGATGTAATCACAATTGATTGATCACTGGGTGGTGATCAATGTCATGCGTGTCAAGTCATTCTTAGTGCTGGTAAATTGGTGAGTAAAACATATTATTGATGTTTCTCATTTATCGAAGAATATTTCTATTCAAAGCAATATACAAAGTGCAAAATTCTGTGATAGCAAACATCAATTTAAAAGATCTATAACGAAGTCATGATCTGGTTACAGATACACCTTCGGCAATCTAATTACAAGTTGAGATTCACACTGATCATGGGTTTATGACATACGAATAAACTACTACCGTCAACTAGAAGTTCAGCGCATCAACTTCTGCTTTACAAGTCTGCTTGGTGTACGTAAATACAGATCAGAATAACTCGTTCGGTAACTATTTTATATGTCAGCAATGTTAACCATGTCAACTTTGTCTATTGTTCGAAATAAATTGGTGTGCGAATGCTGAAGGAAGCCAGTTTGAATGGTTTATGTCGTTTCGGAAAGACTATTTCAGTATTCGTAGTCGGTGGGAGCATTGAACTTTTGATAAGTCAGTAACTTGAGATCGTCTGGATAGAACAGGATTTCCACCACAGGTGAGATGTTGTATAAGTTAAAAAATAAGGAAGCACAAAGTGAGAATAGCGGAGAGCAGGTAGATGAAGTAGTATATAAAAAATGAAAATGAATTTAATCAAATGATTTTGAATATGATTTGTCTAAATCCTAATTGAAGTAAGAATAGTATTTCTAGTGGTGATTATCATTAATTTGATTCGGGTGCAAGTTGGAATACTGTCCGGGTATCCAGACTGAAGTAGATGGTTTTCTTAGGGGGCCACACCCCGAGCCTTTGACTTGAAGATCTAGCGCACAGGGTGGTGGAGCATCGTAAGGAGATGCAGTCCCATGGTAGCCGGTCACCAACAATAAGTTCATATGCTGTTTGTTCCCTCAAGATCATGGAACCCATGTGCACCATTGGCTTCGAATCAGGGTTTTCCAATTCTCCTAGATGCAATCTACATATCCATCAACCCGATTAAAGTTCCAGACATTCGCTTTTCACCCTCTCAATTTCGTCAACAACACCCCTGCCACGAGAAGGAAGTGAGTAGGACTTCAGATTAAGTTAACATATTGCAAATATTTGACCTGAAATCTTAGTGTTGAGATCCGGAAATTAGTGCAACCTATTGTGAGTGTGATGCATTTACTTCTTCATGACCAGAAGACACTAACATCCCTCTTGAAGATATTCTTTTGTGTTCAGATTGTGTCCAACTAGTTTCACTTCATCCAATGAGGGACAGGTTGTATTTCCTCGTTTCCACGGCTATTTGAACGACACTTCCAGTTTACCACATCGTCTGAACATTCTATGCTCCTATGTTTATTGTTGACCTGGTTTACAGAAGAGCCACTGATCTTGTGGATTCCAAAGTCTCGGCTTACACTACGAGGCGTCATAACTCCCTTAAACTTCCATAGTAGAGTTTAACCAGTCTAATTAGTTGAAACTGGTCAAGGTATAGTTTGAGGTTTCATTAAGAGATGGGGTTGCTAGCCGTTCTCTCAAACCTCACTAGGTCTAAGACCGTCAGTTGCTTCAGAGCAGCTCCAGGTGGTGCTACTTCAAAATTCCATTGTATTAAAAAAGTAAAGAGATTGGTCACTTACCTGCTCAAGGAATAGTATAGTTGTCAACACTTGATTGCGTTCATCCAAACCACTAATTTGTTGTAAACGTATACGTATATTCACTGTCAACTTCTCTGATATATTTTTCAACGGTCTTACAGATGACTCATAATTGTTCATGATATATCTGTAAACTTGCTGTTCATGTGGAATCAAAACACGATTGTCATTAACAGGTATAGTTTGATTGTTTTTATAGTGACCTGAAACACAACAACATTTCAAATAATTAATAACTCGGATTCGCTTGACATTTTACGGATCATGAGCGAATTTGAAAGTAAGTCTAAATAGCAGCAGAATACAACTTAAGTAGTTATCCCCTAGTTTTACGGATTAATGCTTTGGTATTTAAGACGAATTCGATCCAAAATTTACTGATTTCAATGATCAGACGACGAGAAATCCCTGCAAGCTGCAATCTCGAAACTATCACTACACCTAACTGATCAGGAAATAGACTGACACAAAACTTAGTTTATGAAATATTTAGAAGGAATATGAAGTTAGCTTCACACAAAAGTAATCACTTGATGAATAATTCAAACGTTTTGTATTCAGTAGCAAACGCACTTCTATTTTCTACAGTGTGAATGAGAAGTACGAGTCAGAAGTAATTTTGTGAAGAATTTAGTATTTTCATAGTTGAAATCATGAGTCAATTGAAGCTAGACCATCATGGAAAACCTGGAAGCACTGAACGGCCGTTTCGTCCTGTCATGGGACTCCTCAGCAGTTCAAAACTACGATCCCGTTCTCGCACTTAATCGGTAGACCACTGAGCCGGCATCCGATGGTGTTTATGTCTAACTCCAACTAATCCACGATTTTGAACAACCGTTCACCAATTGTTAAGTGCTCTGGCGCGAGACTGGTAGGTCCTGGGTCCGAATCTCGCGAGTGCGGGATAGTAGATGCGCACCGTTGAGGAGTCCCACAATAAGACAAATGGCCGTCCATTGCTTCCAGGTGGTCTAGCTTCAATTGACTAATGATTTCAACTATGAAAGTACGAGTCAGTCAAACACAAGTGATGAATTGTTAATCAAAGTTGGATATTGGATAGTACTGGAAACCAGAAGGCGCGTTTCTTCTCATTTGAGACGCGTCAGCTGACTATACTTGTATTTCTGTGTTGAAGCTTGCTATAGCAATCGACCTCAGTGTCTTTCGCTTCAAACACCAATACTTTATCTACTTAGCTACTGAGTTCCAATAGCCACTGGTTTATACATTATGGCTGAGACTGATCAATATTCAGTCCTTAACATGAACAATGGTAAGATTGAAATCCTCACAAATGAATTATATTCAAACGTCGTTTTACAAGACGTTGAGTATTGGAACTGAATAACTTAGTAGATAATGTGTTAGCATTTGAAGCGAAAGACATTAGGTTCGATTGCCTTAGTAAATATCAACACAGAAATCTAAGTTTACTCAGCCGACGTCTCTTAAATAGGATGAAGCACGCGTCTTGCGTTCTGCTCCTAATTAATTTTCATCCAACGAAACAATACCAAGTGAATTTAAACTTCACCCTATTGTACGAGCAAATGGCTATCACGACTCACTAGCTGAGTGGATAACGCGATGGTGTTTGAAGCGAAAGAAACTGGGTTCAAGTCCCAGAGTGAACATTGACTCTGAGATGCAGGTACATCCAGCTGACGAGTCCCAAATAGGACGAAACGCGAGTCCAACTGGATTCCACTGCTAGCAACTATCTATCTTTGCTCATAATGCTTGTGAATTAAGGCTATATTGAGGCAATACGCACAGTATGCACATATGATAATAATAGACTGATAAATTGCAGTCCTAAACATCAATGGGAAAATTCAAACAAAGAATACCAAGTGAATTTATTTTATATGGTTGAATTCATGAGTCAATTGAAGCTAGACCACCATGGAAAATTTGGAAACACTGGAAGACCGTTTCGTCCTAATATGGTACTCCTCGGAAGTGAGCATCCACAATCCCGTGATCGACTAGCTTCAAATGACTCATGAATTCAACTATAAAATTACAACTATAAAATTACAAAACCCTCTTCTGACAATAATAATAATAAGCAGTGACCAGTGGAGTTCAACCAAGTCTGTTGTGAGATAGTAACTCACTGAAGACAATGGTAGACGGTTGCTCAATTTCGTGGATTGGTTGAAGTTAGACATTACCAGAATTGAATGCCTGCTCAGTGGTCTGAAGGTTAAGCGCTCGCGCGTGAGACTGATAGACTCTGGGTTCGAATCTCGCTAGGCGCGATCGTGGATGCGCACTGCTGAATAGTCCCACAATAGGACGAAACGGCCGTCCAGTGCTTTCAGGTTTTCTATGATGGTCTAGCTTCAATTGACTCATGATCTTAACTGTATAAATTACTAAAATCTCCACAAAAACCCCTTGTGAAAATATATGTTGTATTCAAGAGTTTTAGTTCAGCATCTATGGTGAAATCTTAATTACTTATCATGGTCATCATTAAAGAGATTAGGACAGGAAACTTAATCTTATTTAAGTCCCTTAGTCTCAATGCATTTAACATTACTTGGTAATCTTCTGGTAATGGTGGTCATTCACTTTGTGATTAGTTTAGTGTAAATAAATCGTGTTTTTGATTGTTAAACATAGATGATGTAAATGTGCTGATATTGCCTTATATATTTCTCTGACCTTTAGTATCTACCGTAGTATACTATGGTTTTGTCCTATATCCAGTTCTTTATCATTTGTTGGATATTTGAATGAGATTATATAATGTGGTTAGTTACCTAGCGTCTAGTGTGTAGTCAAAAGTCGTCGTTATGAAGCTTTGGTTAACTTCGATCAATGCACTAACACTAATTATTGGCGATCTAGTCAACCAATTAGTGTACCTACATTATCCTGTTTACACAGTCCTCGTCCTGTTTTCAAATCTTTAAAGAATTGAACATATACTACTCATAAATTGAAAAGTAGCTTGTGTGGTAAAATTAGTCTTCGAAAACTAATAACATTCTGAAATAGATGCTTTGCTTAGCAGTTTAGCATTCTCAGTAGCGACGATATCCGAAAATCTATGCGACTTGCCAAAAAAGTATATATGAGCAGTAAAAAGTCACTAATACTAATAATAATAAGATTTCAAATATAGATTTAAGCTCAAATTCATCATTTATCATGCAAAACATAACGATTTACTAAACTTGTCATTGGAGTACTTATTTTCTGATTCAAAATAAACCTCCAGTAACAAATGCTAAAAGGATATCTTAAGTTACCATGTATCCGAAGGATTAAGATATTAGATAACAGAAAATAAATCCGTTCAGGTTATAATCACCCCTTCGTTTATAGAATTAGTTCTTACCTACGTCTGTTCCTCCTAATGGAACATAGACCACCCACCAGCATTCTCCAACCCACTCTATCCTGGGCCTTCTTTTCTAGTTCTATCCAGTTGTTGTTCATTCTTCTCATGTTTGTCTCCATTTCTAGGCTTAATGTGTTCGTTGGTCTTCTGCGTTACCTTTGGTCATCAGGATTCCATGTGAGGGCTTGTCTTATGACGCAGTTGAGTGATTTCCTCAAGGTATATCCTTTTCACTTCCAGTGTTTTTTCTTGATTTCTTTCTCCGCCAATCTTTTGTTCAGTCTCCTAAATAAGTAAAGTTAAGCGTTCTATAAACGAGTTTAAATAGGATGATCTAGACTTCGCAGATGATCTGACTCTTCTATCACACACGCAACAACAAATGCAGAAGAAGACGACCAGTGTAGCATCAGCCTCGGCAGCAGTAGGTCTCAATATAAACAAAGGGAAAAGCAAGACTCTTCGATACAATACAGCATGCACCAATCGAATCACACTTGATGGAGATTTGGAGGATGTGGAAACCCTTACATATCTGGGCAGCATCATTGATGAACACGGTGAATCTGATACAGATGATAAGGTGCGGATCGGCAAAGCAAGAGCAGCATATTTACAACTGATAATCATCTGCAACTCAAATCAACTGTCTGTCAACCAACACCAACATCAGAATTTTCAATACAAATGTCCTGACAAATCAACTGTATGGGACGGAAACCTGGAGAACTACGAAAGCCATCGTCCAAAAGATACAGGTGTTTATCAACAGTCGTCTACTCAAGATACTTCAGATCCGTTGGCCAGACACTATCAGCAACAACCTACTGTGGGAGACAACAAACCAGATTCCATTCAGTGGAGGAAGAAATCAGGAAGAAGCACTGGAAGTGGATAGGACACACATTGAGAAAATCACCCAACTATGTCACAAGACAAGTCCTCATATGGAATCCTGATTTCCAAAGGTAAAGCGGAAGACTAAAGAACACATTATGCCTAAAAATGGAGACAGACATGAGAAGAATGAACAATAACTGGATAGAACTAGAAAAGAAGGTCCAGGATAGATTGGGTTGGAGAATGATGGTGGGCGGTCTATGCTCCATTAAGAGTAACTGACAGAAGTAACTAAGTAAGTAACACCAATTGTCATTCTATTTGACTGTAGTACATAAGGATAAGATAAAATGAAAAAGATATAAAATAACAAATAAACATGAATACAAATTCAATAGCTTACTAGTTGTTTGTTGATAAGTTAAAGTCAAATATATAAATAGTAATATCCATTTGTTTATAAAGTAATATGAACACATTGATGATTTTTGTTTTATAATACCCTTTTCTTTTAAATATTCAACACCCTTAAAAAGATTGATATCATTACTTTCTTAAATCTACTAAAATTTGAATATTATTATCATCATTATAATGAAATTATTAACCAATCAAATAACAGAATTTTTTTATGAAAAAATTAGCCAATAGAAAAAGACTATTTATCTTACTGATAAATATGAACCAATTAGAATTATAATGATGAAGGTCATTTATTGGAATATATATAATTGAACGAAAGAAAGTTTATCTATATTGGGTATTAAGGTTTTAATTAAGGAATATATATATATATATATATATATATATATATATATATATATATATATATATATATATATATATATATATATATATATATATATATACATAAATAGAATGTTGGTATTCAAAAAATGTCAATAATTTGATCAAAATTCTATTCTATATACGATTTAGATTGATATCTTGATATAGATGTTAAGCAATTTGATATAGTTGAAATAATGAATCAATTGAAGCTAGACCACCATGGAAAATTTGGAAACACTGGAAGACCGTTTCGTCCTAATATGGGACTCCTCGGAAGTGAGCATCCACAATCCCGTGATCGACTAGCTTCAAATGACTCATGAATTCAACTATAAAATTACTAAAATCTCCACAAAACCCTCTTCTGACAATAATAATAATAAGCAGTGACCAGTGGAGTTCAACCAAGTCTGTTGTGAGATAGTAACTCACTGAAGACAATGGTAGACGGTTGCTCAATTTCGTGGATTGGTAAAGTATTTTTGAATTTTGTCCAGGGTTCCCATAGAGATCCATTCCTTGTGATGATGCTTCTTAAGACCAAGAACCTCCTGACATGTTGAAGTTAGTGCTTCTTTTATCGATTTCCAGTTGTCCTCCAAAGTAGTTTCTTGTTCTTTCAGTAGATACTGTAGAGCTTGGAACCTGTTGTTGAGAGTTACCTTGAATTAATGGAGCTTGTCAGTATCTCGAAGGAAGGCTGTATTGTCCAGTTTAAACATCTTCAGTAATTCTAGCCTTTCGTTGTGTCTTACTGCTAGCAGTTGTGGGCAAGATACGACTTCGTGGGTATCAGAGCAAATTACACAATGAACTTTTCCTTTACTCGACCATGTATGGATCGTAGCTCTAATAGAAGCAGACCGGTTGTTCGATGTCGTTTGAGCTTTGTAGCTCCCACTTGCTAACTGTCCATAAGTGTTCGTGGCGATTGACACTTTCTTTTCCAAGAATTGCAACAAATCATGAAAATTGGGTTCTAGCCCTCTTCTTAGAATATTGTCTGCAACTTCCGCCCATTTAAACTGTATACTTCGTGGAAGTCGTCTCACTATTCGTTTTAGATTGGTCGAACAATTCAGATCGGCATTTCTGCCCATCTGTGTCAAGGCTATCTTACAGTTAATCATGAGTCTTGTTAATTTCCGTAGTCCCGATACATCGTCTTGATTTAGTGGCGTTCCATTTAACAATTCTGTTAAGAACGCTTCTACTATGTCATGTGGTTTGCCAAACTGTTCGTGTAAAATGCTAATAGCTTTGGTATAACCTTCTCTTTCTGGTAATAAAACACAGTGCTCGATAGCGTCCTTAGCTGCGCCTTCACAATAATGTATCAGGTACATTAATTTCTGAGTATCATCCTCTACTCTGTCGGCAATGTTAGCCTTGAATCCCTTTATGAACGTCCAAAATTTCAAAGGACTTCCATCAAATTTCATAACCTCTATCTTAGGTAAACTGGCTGTCATAACTAGTGACTTGATACTATCCGCTTGTGCTTTGAGTTGCACCGCTTCGCTCAAATGTGCAGTAGTGTATTGGCGCCTTAACGAGGCTGCTGGTGTTACGTCCCCAGATCAAGATCCCAATGACTCGTTAATCTCTCTTGCTTTTCTCACTTGGCTTAAAGAGTTCGGGGTTAACTCTAACAATCGTTTGCGTAGTTGAAGTTCTCTAATCTCTAACTCAATCTTTTCTACTTCCTTTTCCCTAGAAACTACTCCGTCTTCTATGCTACATCCAGTCTCTACATAGTTGTCCCTTACAGAACAGCTGTCTTTGGGGTTAAGTAAAACATTATCAAGAGCAAGATTTAAAAAAAAAAGGTGAATTCACCTTAGAAACTGAAGGAATGATATTTTCAGCATTAGAATTATCTGTGTCTTGGGAACTGTCATCGTTGTACTTCATCATTCTCGTTTTCGTCATCGTTGGGATGAATGAACTAGACTAGATTCCGACCAGATTAGTTACAGCAAGTATCTTCACCAATTAGGACCAAAGTTCAGAACTGTATCCACACTAATGAGACCAAAGATGAGAACTGTTAAGTCTATCAAAGCGTCCAAATGACCCGATTGAGATACGCGCAAAATCGAAGTTCCAAAACACGATTTGTCTACATAAGCGGTTCTATTATTATATAAACACAAAGTTTAATTACAAACCTCAACTTGTGAGGTGTCTAGGCGTTTAACGCGTCATTCAAGAATGAAATAGTAAAGGCTTCGATAGTACAAAGACAGCTGATGGCTGTGTGGAAACTCGAACCAAGAGCAAACAATATGGAAACTGTTGTGTTTAAACAAATCCGCAACTGTGGATAACCGTTACAGTAATTAAAGTACAGTAATTACAATGACAAATACAATGATAAGTACAATAAACATTATAAATATATGGGAACGTTTCCGAATGTTACAGTACAACTTGCGTTACAATGTAAATGTGAAAATTGTCAAGTATACAACTGCTTACTGAATGTGAATAAGTAGTATAAAACAATAAACAAAGAAGTGGAAGGAGAGCGATTAAGAACAATGTAAAACAAACTTAACACTGCCCCCCAAATACAGCATGTCTTTCCTTACTTTCGCTGATTGAGGACTAACGTAAAAACATTCAGAGGTGACAATGGTACAATTTACTCTAGCCACAGTCACTCTGAAGAGCCTCTCTATCCTCTACTGTTCAGTCATCCGTAACACTTTCGAGGTTTGCGTCCCTCCTTAATCATGATTGAGTCTAAATAGTCTACTCCTGTCGTTGCGAACGGGAAGTCGGTTGTTATCCGTGTAGGTGGCAAGTCTCCCATCATTTGTGACATCGGCCTGGCTGATCTAATACAGCAGCCTATACATTTTTGTATGATCCTCTTAATTGCAGTAGTTCCCTTTAAGATCCAAAACCCTTTGCGCAAGGAGGCTAGTGTGTAGTACACCCCCATGTGTCCGTCAGCTTGATGGTGGTGACGAATGATAAGCTCCGTTATAGGGTGTTTGCTAGGTAGAATAATCGGATGTTTTTGCTCTAACGGGAGATCACTACGGTTCAAACGTCCTCCTACGCGAATCAGGTTGTCAATCAAGATTGGACGTAACTTATCAATAACATGAATTTTGGACAGGATGTTATCAGAATGCTTGTGTCGTTTAATCCATTGTCTAATTTCCGCAAAGTCTTGCGCTTTTATGTATTTTAATAAGTCTCTTTCGGCATTATCCAATTCGTTAGGCGCAAGGAGTCCCCTTACGATCGTTTTATTGTAGAGGTGACATTTGAATCTGATGAGCCAAGCTGTGCCTTGTTTGAGTTTAATCCATGACGAAAAATGGGATATAAATTTATCAAGAGGAAAAACTGTAGTCATGGTGTCCAAGGTTGTGGCGTTCTTTAACTCTAGCTTGACTGGGAGTTTTAATATTTCTTCTCGTCTATACTCAGGCCACTTATCTTTCTCAGTCGTTAGGAACTCGCGACCTGAAGGCCAAGCTTTAATACGGTTAGGGTCATACTTACACATTCCTCTGGAAGCTAGATCAGCAAGATTGATGGATGATGCTACATACTTGAAACGTGACGTCGTATTAAGTATGTAATTTAATACTATTATAAAACCAGTCCAGAAGTAGATTTCAGTCATGTCCTTTAGCTTTAATTCTTCTACTATTTGCCTCATCAACTTCACTGCCAGTACTGAGGCTTGTAGTTCAAGACGAGAAACACTGACAAATTTCAGGGGTGCTATTCTAGACTTGCTTATGATGAAACTACATCTACTCCTTGGAAGTGAGTCCCAATCCACTTTCCAGGGCATCGGCACTTGATAATGTCCATCAAGCAATACTGTTTGTTTGTCAGTAATTTCCATAATGGTCTTATCACATAGGGACATGGCAACTTTATCAGAGTACTTATTTTCAGAAAATTCATGTTCAACTAATTTGAGAATATCCTCCTCGACGGAACCTTTTGCTTCTAAACAGTTTATGAAGGCTGAAGTTTTATCAAGTTGACCTGTCGGTCCAAATAAGGCCCATCCTAACATAGTTAGTGATGCATAGGGTTGTTTAGGTTTCCCGATACACTGGTCGATAACCCAGTGGGCCTCTGGAACGTCAACACCAAGTAACAAACCAACCTTGTCACAAGCTATGGTGGGTAGCTGTACACCTTTCAAGCGTTTCCATCTTTCTTGGAAGTCCGTTGGTGGGATTTCTGCCCTTTTAATAGGTAGGTTGTTTATAGCATATGCACCTTCGATTTTGATTCGATTAGTCTTGTCTAAAGATTCGATTTCGAAATTAATAAGTTCAGCGTTCTGAGATGACGCTCCAATTACAGAAGATATGTTCAATCTTGTCACTGTACCTGAAATTCCTACCTGCTTTGCCACATCACTAAGCAATAGTGTCGAGTCTGAGCCATTATCCAATAATGCATAGGTATCCACATGTCCTGTGGAACCATGTAACCTGACTGGCACAAATCCTAAATACGTTCCAGCAGAATAAGTAGAATTACAGCATGTTTGTTTAGCATCAGGTTCTGTGTTGTGAAGAATTCTATGATGACGTCGCTTGCAGCCATCAATTTCACACAACACGGATTGCTGACAGTCTTTTGCTCGATGATTGGGTTTTAAACAATTAAAGCAAAGTTTAAACTTCTTCAGTAATTCTAG